GGCTTCATAGGGTGGATACGTTTAGAGGGAAGACACTTGGATTCCTCTAGCGAGTAACCTCAAGTCGTTGAAGTTACAACCGGGAACCGATTCCCTCATCCATCATCAATAGTGAAGGAGTTCAAGACATTCGGTAAATATTTTTACTAGTATTTACTTTATAGTAACAAATCAAAATTTGTATATGATGCATGTTTTAAAGATGACGATCAGTTAATTCGCAATTAGTATGTACGGGTGTTGTATTTATACGATAAATACTTACTTTAAAAATTTTAAATTCCGCTGCATACAGCCCGTACGGTACTATCGAACCCAACAATAACAGCTCGTACATAAGATAGCTCGGACATATGATAGCTCGTATAAATGATAGCTCGAACTTTGAGGAGCTCGATAACTGACTTGAATAGGGAGTAGATCGACCTACATAACAGGTTGAATCCAGGTTGTTGACAATGACACGTGTAGGGTCATAAATAAAGTAGATAAACAATCTACGGATAAGAATAGAGCCAAATAACTGACGGGCAGACCTACGGGTAGCCTAGTAATCGACGTGTAGCTCTTTCGGACAGACGGGGCAGTCGGGTAGAGTAGAAGCTTGTGTAGAAAGCTAATAATCTTCTATAAATAGGTAGAATTAAGAAAAGTTAAAGGTTAATCACACTTTATACACACTAAGCTTTTAGTATATTTTCATAAAGTTTTTCATATCAACTTTACTGACTTGATTGTCGGAGGTTTAACATCGAGAACATCTCTCGACTTCTTTGCAGGTCCACGAGGAGCAAATTGGTCGAGGGACTTTGGACAACTAGTTTGAGGTGCAACTGCACATCACGGCCATAATGCGAATAGGGTAGACGTGTTCGTAAATGTATTGTCTGTGGGTTCATTTACTGAAGTATGTGTTTGTCTATGTCTGAACCTGTGTTCGTAAAAGTATCGGAGATGGTCCTCTAGGGGTGCGTACTCTTAAGATTGCTCGTTTATATTCAATCCCTTGTTACGAGAGTTATTAAGAGTCTCAATTAAATTGAACACTAATACATTTGATGTATATTTAAGACTTGAAACGATTATTCCCCGACCCCTAGAACTTCCTCTATTCCTCTAGTGATTTTATTTCATTGTGTAATTCTTGATAGTTTTTAGATAATCTCTCTAAATCAATCATGATTAGAATAATCAGAACTTATAATTCCGAAACGGGATCGATCCGAGGTTAGAATTCATTTCGTACTCGGTAAAATATAATTTGCTATAACAAAAACCAATAAAATAAATAAATTAGCTAAACAAATAACCAAAAACGATAAATCTCCTGCGGCGGTTGGCACAGCCACCTTCACCACACGCAACCTTAGTGAATGTAGGTAAAATAATGAATAATAATGCTAGACCAACGTGAGTGTATATTAATAGGTAGAGCGTAAAGGGTGTTAATAAAAGACAAATATGTCAATGTGGCCCCCACAAGTAACACAAATGTGTTAAACCAATGCACATGCTCTAAGAAAAGAAGAAAAAAGAATCAACCGGAAATCTTGCATAGAGTTGGGTACTTAGATAGTCTACATTAGTTAGTGAAGCTTACAATTTTTCTTTCAACGATAAATATATTAATAACTGAAAACTCAAGATGAGTATACGCGAAGTGTCAAATGACACCACTGAAACCAGAACAAAGTTCGGATCAACCCCGCTTAGAGGTACACAGACAACCAAGGGAGTAACTACACCTACGTACATATCAAAAAGCTCCATAAAGGAGGCAAAACACTCTATAAAGGATAATATGAACCAGACGAACCTTGACTGGACCATACATGACAACAAAACAGAAAGACAACGACACACACCTAATACACAAGTAGAATAAAACCTCCCATACAACATGCTAACACACCACACTGACGCCTGAACCGGCACACGAGCCACGCCCTTCAGCATAAAATCCAAAGAGAGCTGTAAATTCGAACCTTAGAGCTAAAAACTATGGTCACTTGAGCTGCTTAGACAGATCTGGTGAAGAGACAATTCTCAGTCCAGATCTAGGCTCTTATGGGCAAAAACGCCAGAAGGGGAAAATGAACCCGATTAGCAACACCGACGACCCAACGTCGATGCCGCCATAACTAAGAATGAGAAAGGCCGGCAGAGCGGAATCCTACAAAAAGTAAAAGGAGCTGACCGAAAAAGGATCTCAGAGACACCAGCAGAGCAGACGAAACCCGCGGCTGGAGGCTACGGTGGACGGGATGACGACCACCACCAAGGTCGGCGAGAGAGACAGTGTTGCGGTTATCGCTTCCATCCTGCACCCGCAAGGCTTTGAAAGGAGCAGTAGAGATGCAGTCCAGTCCCACCGACAGAGACTATAGTAGGCTAGTTGGAGGTGGGGGGTGAGGGGCACAATTGAAAGCGAGAGTTTTCTGCAAGTTTTATTTGGGGAAAAGGTGCGAAGAGAGGAACAATATGTTTTGATCAATTTTCATTTGGTAGTCAAACTTACAACTTATAAGGGTTAATTTCATTCTACTTTATCACATCTTATAATTAAATCAACACACTTCTATACAAATTTTGTATGTGTGGGATTATATAGTTCAAGGATGAAATACCTTATGTGGGCACTACCACTACCCACACAATTAGTTGAGTCGACTGTTTTGTTATAATATTTGAGAAGGGTAATAAAGGCCCATATTAGTAGATGTTACCCTATTGGTTGGTGATTATTTGGATTTATAGCCAATCAAGAAGCATATCTACAATGAATGTCTATTAATTGAAATATTTGATGCTACTGGCGTGTATGGAGTTTTTGCATCGTTATATCATACAAACATCCATATCTGGTTGACTATTAGTTGGAACACTCAATACTATTAGAGTGCTGACTTTTGCATTGTCACGTCATATACATATCCGTATACGGGTGTGTGTTAATTTGATAGTTAAAACCCCAATGTGGGAAGCAGATAGAGTGAAATCCTCTCTACAACCTACAGTAATCAATGGAATAGAATGAAAAAGACCAACCAAAATGGTGTTAAAAAGTGGAGAAATAAACAAAAACAAAAACAAAATGAAGTTTTATTTTCTACACAAATAAGAAAAATGCAATGATCCTAGAAATTTAGTTATGGTGGCATGTTTGTAGAAAACTATAGAGGCTCTGAAAATTAGTGAAGAGAAATTTCTCATATTAGTATAACTAGAGCCCTAAGCAAGAAATAAACATTAAGTAGGAAATAGAAACAAGAGTAATGTACATCACATATGGCTCATACTAGGTAGTATTAGCAAGTCACATGTGGTGCACACATTTTTTGAGTACAAAAATTATACAAATTGAATAAGATATTGGAGGGGCACACCTTCCCATTGTCAAATTTATAGACAAAAGGGACAAAAATTGAAATATCAAGTAATAAAAAAAAAAAGGAATTAGACTCGTTAGATCAAAAATTTTATGGAGCCAATGGATGGTTCCCATATGGAGCCATTTTAACTTAATGTACTGACACATGTCCAAAGTGTATTGACTCGATGACTAAAACTCGTGAAGACTCTCATAAGAATAGTGTCTAAAAAATAGGGTGAAATTAACCATTCATTAGCTTATTTGTCCAACGTCTTATTTTGTGCCAATTTTTATTAAATTTGAAAAATTAATTAGAAAATTTATCAATTTTCTTAAGCAAAACTTGATTGAATAATCCTTTTCCAATACATAATTGCTTCCAACAGTAATTGTGAACTTTCTGCATCATAAATGGATGCAATAACACTAATTTGATTACAACGACTAGAAAGGGGAGAAAAGACCCCTCGCCTTCTTCCCCCGTCGCCTTCTTCCCCGCATCTCACATCTCTGTAAATCCTTCGTCGCCTTCTCGGCAGGGCACGTCGAGTGCTCGGCGCTCTCTTGGAGTGAGCGGCGACCCCAATTTCTTGATTTAGGGTTTGGGGTGGAGATAGGGCTCTGGCCAATTGGATTCTCCTGGTCCTGGTACAGATGATAGGAGCCATGGTGATCAACGATTGAAGGGTGGCTGCTGAACCCTTGGCCTCGCAGTCGCCGGACATGTGGGTGTGGAGCTTTGGAGTCGCGGTCGCCTGAGATCGAATGGTTGGGCTTTTGTGCTCGTTGGGCTGAGTTGGGATTGGCTGGGCTGGGCTGGTTTCTCTTCCATAGGCTGGGCTGAGCTGGGTTAGGCTGGGCTGAGTCGGGATGGGCTGGGCTGGGTTGGGTTGGTTGGCTAGGTGTATTTGTCTCCGGCTGCCAGTGGAGTTGTTTGTCTGGACGAGGGTAAGGTCCGTTGGTTCTTGACTCCGTTAGGTGTTCTCTTGCAGTTTCTAGGTTGGGATACTGGACCGAGACTTTGCCGTTGTTGTGTTCGATGTGGTTTTCTACTTTGGGAAGGGCTCTCGTTTTATTTATTTTCTATTTTAGTTTTGGTTGGTCTGTGTTTATCTTATTGTGCTGTTTAGGATTGTGTTTTTGGTCTGGGCCGTTGGCCTCTGTGCACCCGAGTGTCAGATTATTATCCTGCTGGGATCCGACACTCGACCATCCTGTTGGGGTCTTTTTTTGGTTGTTTTAGTTGTTTGAATAGTTGGTTAGTTTAGTTGCGAGTTTTTATCTTAGCGTTGCTAGTCGGGATTCTAAGCGGTCTTCTGACATGTCCTCTCACTTTTCAGCTGTTGGCTGTTCTCATTCAACTAGGAGCTGCTTCGCACATTTGTGCACTTTTGATTTATAATAATATCTATCATTTTGAGAAAAAAAAAACACTAATTTGATTACTCTATACATGAATGCATATACATACATGCATGCATGATTATTTTGCATGGAGATAAACAGAATTAATTAAACCATTAAATATATTATGATTACCGATAGATATATATAGCTTCTTTCATGGCATGACTCTGAGCACGCAGATCGCATGCTTGATGGCAGTATTGTAAGTTTCAATTAATAAGACAAAAATAGCTAATAAAATCTCACCAAGGACAATAAAATACCATGGAATTTTCTGGACAGGAGACAAATAGATATGCTACTTTTAATATGTTAACGTTCTACTTTTAATAATATCTCCTTCTTATGAATTAGAAATAATAAATAAATGAAATTGAGACGGCAATTGAGCGTGGTTTGGTTTGGTCCGTTTACTGTGAAAAATTATGGTTCAGTTGTAATTTATTTTTTTTATAAACTGCTACGGTTGGATTATTATTTTTCAAAAGTTTGATATTTGAATTGTTATTAATTCAACGCATTTCTGGACATAAATGGACCAAATTATGTATAAATGTATAGAAAATTGAGGCAAAATCTAAAACCAAGTTGCACCATACATTCCATTGTGGTCCGATTCAACTATTCTAGTGTAGTACTTTTTGGTTTGGTTCAAG